AGCCATGCTGGCTGGGGAATTCTGGGAGTTGAAGTCCACTCATCTTAAAGTGGCCAAGTTTGGACAACACTGGCCTACTGGGAGCCCATGAAACTCACATAGCAGCAGTGTTACATGGGTGTACCATGGTGTGCCTAAGACTGCACATGCTGCTACAGTCTGGACCAGCTGAAGCTTTGGTTGTAGTATAGTTGCAGTTTTCTTTGTGCCTTCTAAGTATGAATAAATCTGACAAATCAAAGATTAGAATGATGATAGCTTAGCATAACAAAGAAGGCATCAAGTTTAGGAAGCCTGCCTTAGCCACTGACATTCCTATTCCCTATGTACCTGTGCAGTTTCTTTTTATAAAAAATGATTTGAAAAAGCCTTTTCTGTTAAGGGCACGTAGTCTTTGCGAAACCAATTTCTCTAAGGCATGTTTGTACCTTGCACGTTTTCACAGGCCCCTCCCTGTAAAAAGGACAATCTTGTGTTCATCTCTAAAAAACATGAAGTTTCTAAATTGAGGCATAAATCATTGCAGCAGCAAGTAATTATTTTGCAAGCAAGTTTGCCCATGTTCAGGTAATATGAGGATATTGTCTCAGGAAAACCTCATGCTTGTATGAAGCTTATATCAGCCAAAGCTCAGATATCTAATCTGAAGATTGTATGAGGATTGTAATACAAAAGAATTTAATGTTCATAAACTCCAGATCTCTCAGAAGTATAGCTAAATCAACCTTTAAACCTTTTAAATCCAGAAAGGATTTACAACTATTATACTGTATTTGGCTTTTAAAAAGCTGAGGGGAGGGTATATGGAGGTCCCCCCACTATGTTAAACAATAATATGATTTGATTTAGTTTTGGATAAATGTACAGTATTGTATATATCTATTCTGGTTTGTAATTGTAATTAATGGCTTACAGTGATATTGATACTGTGGCTTTATCCAGTCAACCATGACTTAGTGTGATGTAAGAACACAATCACGTTGTGTACATGAGGGAAAACTAGTTATGCACCTAAAGGAATAATATCTTGGTCTAGTTAGCGACTGACAGCTGCTATTTCTGCTTTAACATCTACTGTTATCAGAATGGTTCTATTTTTAGTCCTCACAATAACAAACTTCCCTGGGTGAATATCTAGAAGAGTAAAATGCAGTAACATTCAACCACAAGAAATATATATAAAATCTCCATATCCTTTAGGTTAGGCCTTTCAGATGTCTTAACTCTGATTCCACAATTTCCATGGGCTATGCTATGGGTCTGAACTTAGAACCATCTGGAAGGTATTGGGTTGTTTGTCACTGTTTTAGAACTTGATCCTGAAAGTTGCAGACTGTCTGGGAGCTATTTTTAACTACATTGTTCTGTCTTCTCCTACCTGGTGCTCTCCAGATTAGCTAAAGGCTGGGGTGGGGGTGGGGGAGAGGATGGATGATACTAGACTGGGGACATTTGTTAAATTGAAGCCCAGGCTGATGATCCCTAACATTTCCAAGAGTTCTGATTGTGATGGTTAGGAGTGATAAGGAGAGAAATAACTGGGATTTATTTATTTATTTAAGAAATGCGTGAGGCCGCCGAACTCATAATATATGACTCTGGCTGGCATACATCAATAAGAATCAAAGACAGTCAAAATTGAACAAAAAATAATATATAATCAAAATAGCCAACCACAGTCATATGCATACAGCTGAGACTGGCCATAAGAAACACTCTCTCTTCCAGAAGGATAGGCTCAATTGCTATGCTGGCCTAATGCACAGGAGAAAAGACAGGTCTTCAAAGTCCTATGAAAAGCTAGTAAGGGTTGGTTAGGGCTACCCAAACCTTGAGGGTCAAGGGAGCTTATTCCAAAGGATAGGCACAGCTACAAAGAAGACATGTCTCCTAGGTCCCATTAGATGATATTGCCTCAGAGAGGGGGCCTGGAGCGTGTCCACCCTTTACCACCTACTGGAACAGATGATGGTAACAGTGGTCCAAAACACTTGGCTAAAGATAACTATGAAATAGCATATACTGTAATAATGCATAGCAAGTAGTCTTCTAAACCTACCTACTAGATTAACCTGACAGTTGAGAATATATAATTTGGAACCATTATAATTTCATTTTAGACAATAAATGGAACTATGGCTAGATTCTCCCTACTTTCCCTTGCTATTTATAATAAAAGAGTGATCAATAGTAACCTTTGTTTTCAGTATGCACATTTATTTTTCTCTGCCAACCCTCTTTCATAACCCCAGTTTAACACAGCATGTTCAAAATGTGACTGTTATCAGTTATGACAAAATGCCTCTGTCTTTTTTCAGTAATGAATTGCTCTGCTCCAGTCGATATCTTATTTCTGTTAGATGGATCCTATAGCATTGGCAAAGGAAGCTTTGAAAGGTCAAAATATCTGACAATCAAGCTTTGTGATGCATTGGACATCAGTCCAGAAAAGGTAAGTATATTCCACAAGCTAATACCACCGCGATAAAATCTAACCTAGAGATCTGTGAGTAACCATTCTGGAATTTAAAGAACAGTTCTGTTTCTGAAATTTTTCATTCTTTCTCTCTCTGTTTTGTTGTATAGGAGGGGGTATTTTTGTACTGTTCTCCATTTAGGTCAGTGAGGCATAATTTTTAAAATAAATTTTAAAATGTATTTTTAATTTTTATTGGATTTGTTAAGGCTGTCCAACTGCCGAAGGCTCTGGTGGCCTTAATAATATAAATGTATTATAATACTAATAAAACATTTCCTCTCATTATTTATTTATTTAATGAATCATTCCAGTGTTATATCATAGCTTACCAATTGGCCTTCATCCCCAATTCATTTGTTTAAAAGATTCGGTATAACCTGACTTGAAACTGAGTCGGTTTTTTAAATTATGATTTTTAAATGTGTTGCTGAGTTGCTTATGTGGCTGTGCTTTAGATATTACAATATATTTATATCATTTTGTTATGTAGAATGAACTGTTGGGGGGGGCACATTATGCTCTCAGTCTAACACTGCTGCCTGTCCATGCCTTGCCTTATGTGTCAGTCTGCCTCATGTCAGGAATTGAAAGGCCATCCTTGGATACACAGCTTGGATGTTTCTGTCCACTATGTTATACGATGCCCAATAATTTGGATAATGAGAAAAAACTTAATTTTAGGTACTCTGTGTAGGCTCCCTGATGAAGTATGGACTAGAGAAATTTTTATTTTTCCATGCCTTTGAATATGTTAATAGGCTAACATTTTAATAATGTTGTTATTCCTCAAGGAGACTTCTAAATTAATTAATGTTATTTGTACTCTTTTCTTTCTCTTTCCTCCTTTTTTGCTGCATAGTAGTTATTGTTTTACCATTTGCATCTTCGTATTCACTTCTATTTTTATGTAATGTTTTTAGATTAGGAATGAATTATTTAGTAAGTCAACCCTGAGAGAGCATTTGTTTCAAATAAAATTTTAAACTAAAATAGATCAAAGATATCCCTGATTGGCCAATATATAACATGCATCTACCAAATTGGCCATTGCGTGCACCCTTTACCTAATAAGCTGTGTATAATTGCAGCCTGGCTTCTGTGCCATAGAAAATCTCGGAAAGGTATTTAGCATAGGCTACAGATAGGAAAGTATCAGAAGCAAAGGAAATTTTGAAGAGGGGAAGAGATTTAATTTGCTTATTTCTTATTTTCCATAGCTCAGCATATTGAGACCACCTGAAATTTACCTTACCCTTTCAGGTTAGAGTGGGGGCAATACAGTTCAGCAACACTCCTCACTTGGAATTCTCACTGGATGCATACTTCACCAAAGACGAGATAAAAGACCAACTCAAGAAGATTGTGTTCAAGTAAGATAGATTTTGTATTTGGACTCTTACTTTGGGTCACTGAATCATACAATTGCATTAGGTGAGCTCAAACGTCATGTAATATAAGAAATTCACCGCTGTAGATGAATAGTCATCCAGCCACTGCTTAGAGAGTTTTTCCAATTCAGAATGATGCCCTGTCATATCACCATGGAGTTCTCCCTAAGTTTACTCAACATTTCAATTTTGTATCAAATGATTGATAAATTTATAATTTCTCCTATCAACTTATATTAGTTATCTTTTAAGGCAAAGAGTATAATTTTAAATATTTCTGGCTTTTAGTGCGTAGTCTCTAACAATTTAGTTTTAAAGATACTGACTTCCAAGTTAAGTTCCATCAAACAAGATGAATGTATTTAGGATTAGAATATGAGGATGAAAATTATTTTAACCAATTAGTATTTCATAGCTAATCCATCCACTAGAGAATGTAACTGAAAAGGCCCATTAGATTTGTATACTGCCTTTCTTCCAGAAGCTCAAGGCCTTCTTTTCCAATCTTTCTTCTGTAAGGTGGATTGGGCATAAAGATAATGACGGGTCCAAAATCGTCCAGTTAGCTCCCATGGCTAAAGCTGGTTGACCTTAGTCCTAGTTCAATACTTTTACCACTATACCACATGATCTCTTCACTATCCATCCTACTTCACATTAGCCATAAATATTCCCATTTTTCTGATGGACCTGAATTAGGTACTTTCTCCAGATTATCCATTGAGCTTATCATTTTTATAGGTTTCTATAATGTTCCATGTTTTTGTTTATTGTGTTACATTAATTAAAAGGAGACATTTCTAGCCTAGACACTACTGTCATGTTGCCACATTTGAACCACAGGACTGTTTTTGAGATTGATAAAGAACACCAGAAATTGCATTGAAATGATATGTGTACATACTACATCCAACTCTACCTTATTCTCTCTTTGTCTGAACCCATATGAGCCACCAATGCTCACCACATGCATCAACATACATGATTGATACCAACAACTCAGAAAGGCAGTTTTCCAGTGGCATGTTAACGACATCTCACAAATGGATGTGCATTTTAGCTTTTCTATGGTTATACTGAACATGCACGGATGGAAAAAAATACCCTGAGAGCTTGGTAAATTTAAAATCCAAGAGTTTTCTAATAAATGAATTAGAAAGCTCCTTCATCTATAAGCAAACCTTTTGCATAACATTCTAAGATAACTTCCCAATCTGATGAACTCCAGATGTGCTGGGTTGACAACCAGAATTCCATATCCAGCTACTGATTGAATAATGATAAAATGCAGTTTTTTCCATCCTGGTGATCTCCAAATGGATTGGGACTGAACTTCCCAGAATTCTAAGAATTATAGTTCGAATACATCAGGTTTGGAAGACTGTTTTAAGGTAGAGACATTATCAAAGAATGCACCTCTTAACTCAACTGTTAAGTGGATTTAGGTTTTTGGAGATAGGAAATTATGACCATTGACAAAATGCAGCTGGCCAGGAAAGGCATGGCTGCTACTGCAACTTTGTTGATGCATTCCTGACATGGAACTTGAGAATGACGCAGTAGAGGGAGAGAATAAAGGAGAAACTTAAAAAAAAAAAGAGTTCAAAGACAATTCTGGCAGGAGTTTAGAGCACTAAGAATTACAAGCTGGTACCGAGAGAAATGTGTAGATTAAAGCATTAGGCACCACAAGGCAAGAATGTGATCAAATACTGAATACACCAGGAAATAAAAGGTGGAGGGAACTAAGTTCATTCTTTCAAAATGAATAAGCATAGTCCAAATTCAAAGTTCATTTCTGTGCCATGGGGAAGAACACTTTGTTATAAAAGGAGATTTATATATTTTTCCATAGACTCCAAGCAAGGCTGAAGATGCTAGAAAGTTCTTGTAATTCCCTAGCACAGTGTTATCATTTTTTCCCACAAAAACTGCATACGCTCTGATCATATTCCTATAAGTGACATTGGTGAGATCTCTCGTCTGTTCCTTTATTGATACTCTCTTTTGTATGTGATATTATTTGAGAGTTCAGGTGTTCTAGTTCTTATATATTTGTTGGCATCACTCCTGCACTTTATTCAACATACAGTATGTTAACATTCTGGAAAGGATGCATGTCTAACAGACACATGCTAGCAGGAGCAAAAGGAAGTCGCTGAGACAAACTATCAAAATTCATGACTAGTCCATCATATGCTATAGTAGAATTAATAGGAGAATCCCCCCTGGAATCAGCAAACAGTGGGAATTCAAGATACAGGGTTAGAGTTAGCTTTCTGACTCTCAGGTCAGCATTATAATCAAGCAACTCACTAGAACAACTTAAACTTGCCTTTCAAAAGACATAATGGAAGTTTGATTAATTTTTTGTTGATATTCTTAAGTGAATTTTGTCACTATGATCTAGCACATGGCACAATTTGCTATGATATACAGTGCTTGCAAAAGATCCTAGCATTTTTTATTATTCATATCTATATATATAAATATGGATCTGCATAATGTAAAGCATGGTGGGAAGTCCCAGGAGCACTGAAGTGTTTTCCATTTTGGTTCTACCATAAACACAGAACTCAACTTAGCATTTTCATTCTTCCCTCATATTTCCTGTAATCTAGATCCCTTGTTGGTTAAGCAGAACAATACAAAGCTCTATGGCTGCCAACATGTTTTGCTGATAAGTCTCCTAATCAGCTGGTACAATCCAGATGGATTTCCCATAATTGCACTTCTGGGACTCCTAGAGCTGACTTTCATCCTGTGTTGGAGAGGAAGTCTGGGGATAGATATGAAACCACACCTGCAGGCTGAGCACTGGACCTTTAACAATTGCTGGAACCCAGCAACTCCTTCAAGGAGGGAATAGGATGATTCATGAAGTTTGCATAATTATGGTACCCTGTGTTTTTTAGATGGATATACTGTATGCATTGCTATTCAGAATGTATAATCTTTACAGTAACAAGGAAAGGCTTTTACCTACAAATAACTATCTGGTCTTACATTCACCAAGAGTGAACTACCTCCTATGTGACCTCATTCTTCTCTACAGGAAGTAGCTGTTTTTCCTGTTATAATAGATATGAACCAAGGATAATATGATTGTCAAGTAGATGTTTTCCCTTTCAAACTAATCATTGTTTTGGAAAGCAAGGCAGCTGCAATTCCTCCTGCATGTCTCTCCTTGATTCTCGTATCTATTCACTCTGCTTTCTGCATTACATCCTGAAGCGTCACTGAAGCTTACAATTCACTGCAGTAGAAAAGAAGAGCAGGACAAATCAATGTAAGAAACTGGGTAGAAGAAACTATTGTGTCCTCCTGGGTTGAGGCAACGGTGTATGCCATGATGCTCTTGGGTTGGAAATAGCTATCAGTGTGGCCTAAAGCAATGACTCATTGCAACTATTTCCATCTTATTGCCATCCAGGAGCCTCAAACAGTCATTCCCACTTGGAGGAAACGAGAGGGAGATAATGTTATTTTAAAAAATTAAAATGATAAAAGAGTAGAAAGTGTAAAATTATAAATAACACATGGAGGAATAAGTGTTATTTATACTGTAAATACAGTGAAAGCTATTATAATAAAAGAAACAAAAAGCAAAACTTGGCTACAGATACTTCATATTCAAAGTTAATCGACTTTAATGGATAGCTTAAATCTTATTTGAAAAGGAATGTGTAAAAAAATGCACCAAAGACCAAAGATAGAGTTTCCAAAGTTTATGAGTTGCTGATTTATAATGAATGTGGGAGATTGTATTTTCTTTTTTAAATAAAGCCAAGCAAAACTATGAATTATGAGGGATTCAGATATCAATTCCGGTACTAAAATGGAATTCTGTTTTTAAAAAATACCTTTAAAATGACCAGCAATAATCAAAGGATCCTATCTCAAATTGATTTACAAATGACATCTGACAGCTGTTAAAATCTGCCACATCAACACAAATATAGCCTTCTCTGTGACAGAATTTACCTCTATGTTCATGTGAATTTGCTTCCATGTTCACAGATGCTGATTATCAGTTATCATATCTGAATTAATAAAATGATAATTTATCCAGATCTCATTATTTGACACCATGGTCAAGCTTTTTCAGATTTTAATTAGAACAGGAAGGATGGAGATTAAAAACTGCATGGGGGGCCTCTTACATTTCTGATCTGCCTTATTTTAGTTCCCTGGAAAAATGCATGAGAAAATCCCATTTGGATGGAAATCCACTTAGGGTTAGGGTTAGGCTTCCAAGAATTTGGAGAGAAAAGCCAACATCACAGAAGGATTTAGATAGGCTCTTTATGCACGGGGGCCCTTACTTTTCCAATCCCCCTTTTTTTCATTCCCTGGAATAATGCATGGGAAAATCCTATTTGGATGGATATCCACTTAGGGTTAGGGTTAGGCTTCCATGAATTCGGAGAGAAAAACATCATAGAGAGATTTGGAGAGGCTCTTTATGCATAGGATGCCTCTTATATTTCCAATTCCCCTTATTTTCATTTTCTGGAAAAATGCATGGAAAATCCTATTTGGAAAATTGATTTCACCAGGGTATTATCTAATCAATAAAGGAATTACCTCTGTACATGTCCATAACATTTGCACTAATGTTCCTTCAAATTTATTACACCTTCAGCACAAAAATGATGACAACCAACATTTTAAAAACATTCTTTGAGAGATCCAACAGAAAGGAAAAAGCATTTTTTTCTCAACTAAGTTTTTAAATCATATGAGACGTATCTAAAATTCCCTAAAACTTGAAGCCATTTATTGGGTAATGTGGCATATTCCAATTCTCTAGTCCAAATTTTTTATATATTGTCCAATTTTTTAAAATTTAGTTTTGTATAGGTTAGGATAACTACTTCTGAACAACCTTGCCAAGAAAACTGCAGAGACTTTTCCAGGCAGTCGTCAGGAGTCAAAAACTGACTTGAAGGCGCACGCACATGCACACACACACACACAAAAGTTAGGATAGTAATAGATTGTCCACTTAGTTAATGAATGCTTTCTGCAATACTTCTGAATTTTCAATGGCCATAAGAGCACTGCGGCTAAAGAATGGATATAACAATTGTTTTAGCTGTATATATTGCTATTCAGCCATTTTTGTAGATTATATTCCATTTACAAAATCTTAAAAGCTTTAAAGATATCATTACTTATTAACTGATTAACAGTAATAATTCCATTTCCAGCCCATGTTCTCCCCCCCCTGCAAATTATTATCACCCATTTTTAAATAGTTACTCCAAAGTTCAAATCTTTCTTGAGGATAAACATCCAGTTAATCCCAATATGTCTGGCCACCTTCAACACAGGAAAAATAACCAAATTCTCAATATGATTAGAACCAGGAACTTGCCAGGAATTCAAAGGTGCTTAGTAATAGCTCTCAAGTTGAGCCCCCAATGGTAGATAGTATCATTTTTAATCCAATGAATAATTAAGGTTAACAAATCAGCCAAATGATATTGTTTAAAGTCAGGGAAATTAAGATTGCCATCATCATAACAAACCCATATCTTTAATAGAGAGATCCTGGGTACTTGTATTGGTTTCTTCCATAAAAAATGAACCATTAGCTTGTCAAGCTGTTTAAAATATTTGAGTGGGTGTATGTGTGTTCCATATTTATAAAATATTTCATCTCCTCTTTACTTTTGAAACAAATTATATTCTGTCATGTTCACAGTTTAATAAGGGATTTGTTGGAAGCTAAGAAAACAAAAATGAGTGCCTGCAACTTTCCTAATGCTTGCCTTCCTTGCTTCAGAGGTGGGCGAACAGAAACTGGGCTTGCTCTGAAATGCATTCTTCAGCAAGGATTCCGTGGAGGCAGAAATTCATCAGTTCCTCAAATCCTTATCATCTTAACTGATGGGAGGTCTCAGAGCAACATGTCAACCTTAGCCAAGCAGTTAAAAGAAAGGGGTATTGCAGTGTTTGCAATTGGAGTCAACTTCCCAAGGTGAGTTGACATGGGATGACATGACAGCCAAAGACTGAAGTGAAGTCCTGCAGTGGATAGAAGATTTGGCATGCACATCCTTGAAGAAGGGAAAGATGATCCACTGTGTATGGACTTGTTGCAGTTGAAAGTTTAGAAGGCCAATTAATACAGTAGCTAGGAGATGGAGCAAACAGTGCCCTGCATTGTCAAAGGAAAAGCCAGAAAGAACAGGAACAGGTGTTAGCTGTGAAATGGAGCTTCCCACTTGAAAAAAAGTAGCTTAAAGATTGTAATCAGTTTATGTATTTGTCTGTTGTAAATAAACCAAGATAATGCTGTTTGATGAGTCTTACGCCATGAGTCTTAGGCCAACAAGCGGGATTAATGATTCAGTTCTGTAGAACGAAGCTTTGTATGTGTAAGGGTATATGATATGTTTTTGAAAGTTTTTGTTGTACTGAATTTGCTTCTATGCAGGTGGGAAGAATTGTATGCACTAGCAAGTGAACCAGTGGAACACTACACACTGTTTGCAGAAGACACTGATGATGCCTCCAACGGGCTTTATACCACACTTACACTCTCTGCTATCTGCGATGCTGCATTTCTGGGTATTTGAAAGTTTAATTTAGGCACTCAGATTAAGTGTTACTTACCTTCTGTTTTTATTGTACTTTGTTTTTCATTTTTCAATTAAGAACTACGTTTTCACTGTGCCATCTTTTCATAAAGCTGTTGTCTCTGTATAATTTAATTTAATGTATTCAAGACTTTGGGAGGCTGTAAGATTAGCTTTTAGGACTCTTTGGTGGGTTGGGGGATTGTCTATGGGGATAAGGGAACTTTTTATTGTTTTCTATTGTCTCACTATCTGGATTCATTCAAAGAATTTTAAGAGCAGATTCCATACGATGTTACCATGTATTTTGCAACCTTCCCACAGTTTTTTGTTTGATGGAGAAAAAAAGTTTGTATGGCTTTTCTAACAGCTAAGAAAGATTAAAACAGCATAACATGGTAAAGGAGTATTCTGAATTAAAATGGCATTCTAGAGTGCAGGACATGGAATATTGAATCTAAGTTACAGGCAGGCAGATTCCAACTGAACGTAGAAAAAAAATCAACAGCAAAAGCAATTCAACATTGGAGTCAATTACTCAAAGTGGGCTCCAAATGACTGGATGTGTTTAAGTTACTGGTTAGGTTTAAATAAAACCAAGGCAGATGCTTTCATTTGAATTCCTCTATTAAGCAGAAGATTGTGCTCAGAGGCCAAAATGACCCTTTTCATCTCTAAGGTTCAGGTATTAAAAATAATTACAAATATTTTAGAAAGTTAATTTTTAAAAGGTATGCATTGCTAAGCTACCAGAAAGTATAAGTACTGGTTGCAATTTCTTCTTGTGTAGCCAACAAGTGGATCTCTGCAAACAGAAATATTTTCAGAATGACTTTTCCTGCGCATCTGAATAAGCATATTGGTTCCTATTGAGATCCCTGGCCATTAGATAATGGGGCCCTATGCTGTTTTAGACTTTAAAGGTTAAGAACAACAGCTCTGATTTGACTCTAGAAAGGAAATGGCAGCCAGTGGTTTTCCTACCACTTCTTACTTTCTTCTTTCTGAAAAAAAGCCATTATGGAGGATAAGATAGAATAGCTGCAGTAAGTAATGCCTTCTAATTATAGTGTCAGCAGGCATCGGTTTGGAAGTTTCTTAAGAGCTTGGAAGCAGTGGGGGGGAAACAGCAATGATGTATTAGGTTGGTAACTGCATGGATAACTTTTCAGTACCAAGCTAAGAAATTTGTCTTCTCCCAGACATTTTTATACTTTCTTTCTTTTTCTTGTTTAATTATATCGTGCTTGCATTAAGCTGCGATAGTGGATTTTACACATTTTATTCTTCTATCTTTCCTGCTCTATTTACAAATTAAAAATCTGCCCAGAATACTCTTAATTATGGGGCCCATTTAAAAAGTTAATACATGAATAAATAACATTTTCAGTTCTAGCAAAACCTTCATCCTCTTAGCTAACACGTTTGTGATTGTGGGCACCAGTCTGGCATATTGATGTAATAAAGCAATACAAAAGGGAAGTATGGGTAGGTTAGGGATGGCAGTAAGTTGGATGGAGCTTTTGGGGAAATGATTTAAATTTATAATTTAATTTAAGGGAGGCATATAAATTTAATAATAAAATAATAAATAAATAAATAAATAAATAAATAAATAAATAAATGATTTCGCTCTTTGTCCTTGCTGGTATGCTTCCCTCCTGCCCACAGACTTTTTACCCCCCTGCTGTGGGTTTACCTGGTAACAGCCACTAGCAACAAACACTGTGGAAAACTCCCAATGGTTGATATCCTCTGTGCAATCAGGTAGGAAGATGGGCCAAGCATGGTTCTTGATGGGCCCTGCTTGAAAGGTGCCAGATGTTGCTTCCCCACCAGGTAGCAGAGGAACCATTACAGCAGCACAGTAGGGGCCAGTGTGTGTGCCCGTGAGGCCTGGCTCCAAACTCTTCAACAGACAGGCATGTAGAAATTCTGGCAGAGCAGCTCGAGTCACGAGCCACTGCTGCCATTGCCTTTCCCAACTTATTCTTTAAAATCTGTAGTAAAGAAGCCAACAGAACATGCCTGAGGGTGTAAAGTTTGATAATGAAGGAAAGGTTGCATGCTGGTTTCTGAGGTTACAGTATCCAGGAGTACAGAATGTTTAATCCATTATAAATGGCAATTCATTATTGCAACTGTAAATTGCATTTTCCTGGATCTTGGCAAGACACTTGGACGTTAATTGGCTGACTGCTTTGGTACACATCTAAAAAGGCAACATAAACATTAACACTAAATCCCACTACCCAGCTACTGTTGGTGATAAACCCTGCAGAAATAAAGATGATTGCCCTACGTATTAGCTAAGGGCTTATCTGCATTTCAGTTCTTGCAAAACTGATGTTATTTCTATTCCGCTCTTGTTGCCAGAGGAGCCCAGAGCAGTTGACAATCTTAAAGAAACTCAGTATTAATAAATCAAGTCCTTAAAAATAATAAAGAGAAATGAAAACAAACTTCATTTAAAAGAAGAAAAAATAATATATCACGCAATCTAAAAGACAGACTGATTCTGGGGTGGGTTGTTAGACATATGTCTGGGTGAGAATGAAGTCATCCTGCTTGTTTCAGAATAAGATTTATTAAGGGAATTTTAGGTTTTTCTTCCCCAGCTGGTGCTTTTCAGATGTCTTGGACTACAATTGTAATGATACCCTCCCCAGGCATTGTGACAATTTAGCTCAATAGCTTTCCTTAGTACCAGGCTACAGCTCCCATAACCTCAGACTACTGTTCTGGGGATGATGGGAGCTGTAATCCAATCCACCAGAAGAATGCCATGTTGAAAAAAGTTGTGATAAAAATATGATCCTTCCCAATATATATACAGTATATAAGTCCATTAGTCAGTTTGAAACTTTATAAATAATAGGGGTATGCACACTGATTCAATCTGGATTATTGATATAATTGGAGTATTCAAATTAATTCAGAAAATCAAGTTGATTTGATTTTCCTAATTGATTTAAAAATATTTCTGTTTAGAAAGTTGATTTAATTCTGAAATTTGACTGAATTGACTTTAAAGTTTTGGATAGCCCTAGTAGTTCTGACCTGAAGGTATAACAGAGAGAGAGAGAGAGAGAGACAGAGAGAGACAGAGAGAGAGAGAGACAGAGAGTAATCTATCATTTCCTTCTACTTAACCTTTTATTAACATTTAATCAAAATGTTACTGCAAAACAGAGAAATAACTTGCCAAGGGACAAAGTGGTCAGTCATCAAACACTAAAAATTGCTTTAAATCAGTTCCGCCTACCTGACATCTAAGCCAATCTTACCTGCTTTGACTGGCAGTTGCTCCCCAGAAATTCAGACAAACACCTCTCCCAAGATGTTAAATGACACTCTTCATTATGGATGAAAGCTATTAAACCTGATTTATCCATGCAAGGTCAAAGCTCTGCAGTTTTGTTACACTGCCATTTTGGTGTGCTTAAACGTCTTATCCTAGGCAATTAATACTGATTCTGACTTCTTTCCTCTTGCGCCAGGCTGCAGGGCAGAATCTTACCCTTGTGAACGCAAAACACTTGAGAGAGTAAAAGAGCTGGTTGGAAACTATTTCTGTTGGAAGGGATCAAAAAGCAGTAATGTTGTACGCACATCACTCTGCCCTTTCTACAAGTAAGTCAGCTTACCCCTCACTCCCTTAAAATACATAATGCTTTATCCCATAAACTTTAGTGGTTATCAGTGGGAGATATATTGGTATGTTCTCTGTTCATCTCATGGTACATGAAAAGTGCATGCTGTGAAGTAAAAAAATGAATTTTGTATGAATTTCAAAAATATTTTACTCCTTCTTCCTTACTAGCGCTCCAAGTATCTTGGCAGAAAGAGCAAACTTCACCCAATGTTCCAGCATCTATTGTGCCAAAATCTGTTTTTCAATTATTTGAAAGTTTTCTTCCCCTGTGATAGAGATTTCTGTCTCATTAATTTGTTCTTTAGAAATAATTTGAAATGTCGCTGCACTCTTCTGGACAGAGAGCTCTGATGTTGTTCCTGGGATCTGTTGGAATCACTCTCCCAGTTTAGGAGTCACAGCCCCGAGTGCTCCTACTACCACTGGGACCACTTTGGCCTTTACTTTCCACGTCCTCTCTAGTTCTTCCTTCAAGCCCTGGTACTTCTCCAGCTTCTCATATTCCTTCTTCCTGATGTTGCTGCCACTTGGCACTGCTACATCTATCACCACTGCTGTCTTCTGTTCCTTGTCTACTACCATGATGTCTGATCGATTGGCCAGTACCTGCCTGCCCGTCTGGATCTGGAAGTCCCACAGGATCTTAGCCCTGTTAG